GACAGGAAAAATAACTACTGTAAAGATGACAGCATCCATGAACTAATCTATAAACCTAATGCAATCTGAAGCAAAATACTAGTGAGGTAACCAACAATAATAGTATTGATCTGAAAAAAATTATATGATAGCTATGCAACAATTTTAAAATGAAGAACAAAGAAGTGATATCAGCCCTACTAGACCCTTCACAGCTTTCTGTTCTGCCACCAATAAGGTGGAAAAATAAGGGAAAATGTTTGCATCCATGTGATGAAAGGCTAGTTTCCTTTATACGAAAATAAGAAAAAGCATAATTTGACAATATTGTAACTGTTACTTTTTGTTTTTTTAAAATGGCTTCACTCATCCAAGTACCACACTCTTTGGTAGAGAGATATACTAAACTGGGGGCAGGGAATGACACTCATGGACAGGCATCCTTTCCAGTTATTTCTAGTCAACAAAATAACCCAAGTTTCCAAAAGAGAATACAAGAGGTACATTACTATATACCCTTAAAAAGTTAAAATAATTATAAGGAAATTTTTAAGAACTACTTTCTGTGTTTAAATTAGAACACTTAGATGAAGTGAACAAATTCCTAGAAAAACACACATTATCAAAACTGACTCCAGAAGAACTATAACATCAGAATAGATCTGTATTGGTAAAAATAATAAATTAGGAATAAAAAATAATCTTCATACAAAGAAAGTCGAGGCAGCAACCTGATGAATTTTATGAAACATTTAAATGAGAAATAATATCAATCCTTCCCAAACTCTTTCATAAAATAAAAGGGGAAGGAAATACCTTACATGGCTGATAACATACTGATACCAAACCCAAAGACATCACAACAGACCTAGATCCAAGATACATAACAAACCAAGATCAACATAGTAAAGATTACATATATATGTGTGTATATACACACATACATACACATATATATATACATATATGCAACACATAAGATATATAATACATGACCAAATGGTATTTATCCTACAAATGCAAAGTTAGTTTAGGACCTACACATAAATTAATGCAATACATCATATTAACAGAATAAAAACCAAAAACTACATGCTCAACTCAAGAGGCACACATCCACACACACAAAGCATTTGATAAAATCCAAAACTCCTTTATAAGCAAACTCTCTATAAAAACTGGAAACAAGTCAAGAATGTTTTCTCACTTCTATTCAATATCAAACAGCATATTGCACTAACCGGTGCAGTAAGGAAAAAAAAGAAAGATATCCAGATTGGAAAAAAAATAAATTTGTCTTTATTTGCAAATGACATAATCCTGAAATAGAAAATCCTACAGAATCTCAAAAACAAACAAACAAACAAAAAACCTAGTCGAATAAGCAAATTTAAGCAAGATTATAGGATAAAAGCTCACTATAAAAAAACAACTATGTTGCTAACATTAATAATGAATATTCCAAAAAGAAATTAAGAGAATAATTCCATTCATAATAGTATCAAAAAGAAGTATTTAGGAATAAATTTAACAAAAGAAGCAAAATCCTGCACATGGAAAAAAGATTGCTAAGAAAAAGTAGAGACACCTAAGTAAATGGAAAGATGGGCCTTCTCAGGGGTTAGAAGGCTCATTCTTGTTAAGATGGCAGTTCTCCCCAAAATGATCCACAGATTCAATGTGATATCTGTCAAAATCTCAGCAGTTTTTGTAGAAATTGACAAGAGGATCCTAATAATGACATGGACATTTTATTTAGAACAGACAAAACAAATTTTGAAAAAAAAATCACTATTGAATGATTGACACTACCAATTGCAAAGCGTACTAATGGCTACTTAAGCACTACAGTGTGGTGACGGTGTAAGGGTAAACAAATAAACCAATGGAACAGAATGGAGTGCCCAGAGATAGAACCGTGCCTTAATTTCCCACATAGCTTAAAGGGCAGTCTTTTTCTTTTTTGCCAGGATGCCCATACTTTGGGATACAGATTAACTTCGGCCACAGGAGACTTGAAAGAATCCATAGGAGGAAATGGATTTACACAGCTGGGGTAAAAGATGAATGGGTAGGAAGGTGTTTTTAAAAACCGAAGCCGTGGCTAGTGTGGCTCAGTGGATTGAGTACTGGCCTGCAAACCAAAGGGCCGCTGGTTTGATTCCCAGATTAGGGCACATGCCTGGTTGCGGGCCAGGTTCCCAGTAGGCAGCGTGTGAGAGGCAACCACACATTGATGTCTCCTCTCTCTTTCTCCCTCCCTTCCCCTCTGTTTAAAAATTAAAAAAATAAATAAATTAAATCTTTAAAAAAAACAAAACTGAATTTCAGAGTCTAGCAGACAATTTGCTTAAACAAATTTTAAATCTTTAGCAAGAATACCAATTGGCCCTGAAAACATTCCTCTAGAAAGTCTGCATCTCTCAAAACTGCTTTTGCAAATGTGGCACTTGAAAGTGAAGCATAAAAATGTTCCTCCCCTTTGTCCAAGAAATCCTACTCCAAGGTATTAATGGGATCTAAGGAAATAATTCAAATGAAAATTGTTGTTACAGTAAATTTAAAATAGGGACAAATTTGAAACAAAGTTCAATGTTTAACAAATTACAGCACTAACTCAGTAGACTACTATGCAGCCATTATACTTTGTAAATATGATATATAAAGCAACATAGCAGTGTTTGCTATGTAAAAATGAGTTTCCATATGAACATTCCTGAGAGAGTTCCCTGGGAGGAAACTCAAAGAAGTGAAACGAATTATAATGTTGTAAGTCAGGAATATGAGCGTGTTCATTTCTACCTTTTAAAAAATATGTACAGTAAGTGTACATATTTTACAGAGTGCCCAAGATTTCCAGGCCTAAATCCCCCCAAAAAACAGGACTAGCATTTTAGGCAATAAGTGGAATTAAAGACAGCCAGGTGAAAATGGTAATGTCATCCCGGCAGGGGAGTGGAAGCAAAACCATTGACCCCTGAATGAATGAACCACATTGAGCAAATAGATGAGGGTGCCCACAAGACAGCTTTTGAATAAACTATGCTGATATGGATATCTACCAGCTATCCATATACAAAAAGAAAGAAAAAAATAACTTAGACTATTATTTCATACTAGCCCTCGCCCTGCCAAAAAACGAGCTCAAAATAGAACATAGGATTCAGTGTTAAAGATAAAGCTCTGAAACCTCTACAAGAAAATAAGAAAATAGCTGTGACCTTGGGTTAGGCAAAGATTTCTTTGATATGTCAGCAAATACATGATCCATAAAGAAAAAAAAGATAGACTTTATCAAAATTTAAAACTTTTACTCTTCAAAAGACACCATTAAGAAAATGAAAAGAGGTGTGTCAACCGTTTCCCACCACAAGTGCAGTTTACTTTGTTGCTCAGACCAAAAGTATAGAGGCCATATTTAACTTTCCCCACTCTACCTTCAACACATCCATCCATCAACAAACCTCACTGGCCCTACCTTTAAAATATAGCCAGAATCTGACCTCTCTCACAGTGCCCCAGATACTACCCTGATCCAAAATATATGGGTGTATTAATTATCTATTATAGCATCTAACAAAATACCCCAAACCTTAGTGGCTTAAAACCCCAATAAACATTCATTATTTCTCTCCATTTCTGGGGTCAGAAATTTGGGAAAAGCTTGCTTGAGCATTCAAGATGTCAACCAAGGCAACAGTCATCTTAAAACTCAGCTGGTGTGGAGGCTAAAGATCTTTTCCCAGGTGGCTCACTCCATGGCTGGCCAGCGATGTAGCCTTTTGGTGAGACTTCATTGCCACCCCCAAGGGCCTCTCAGGAGGCCTTCCTGAGCATCCTATCCTTACACGTGACGGCTGGCTGGCTTCCCTCAGAGTGAGCAATCCAAGAGACTAAAACAGAAGCTGCAGTATTTTTTATGATCTAGCCTTGAAGTTACACTTGTCACTTCTGCAGCATGCTATTGGTCACACAGGGAAGGCATGATTCAGGGTGGCTGGGGACTACGCAAGGCAGCAATACAGAAGGAAAGGATCATTAGGGGCCACCTTGAGGCTGGCTACGACACTACCATCCCCCTCATCTGGGTTACTGTGATTGCTTCTTACCCATTTCTGTCTCCCTAAAGTCTATTCTCAACACAGCCGCCAGTAAGCCTCTCACATCACACCATGTTGCTCTTCTGCTCCAAACCCTATAACAGCTTTCTATTGTCAAGTAAAAGCCTTCACCGTGGCCCCAAGGCTTTATATCGCCCAGTCTCAGTACCTTTCTGATTAACCTAATACTCTCTCCTCACTACCGCTACTCTAGCACAAACACTAGCCTTCAAATGCACTAAGCAGACTTCTGACCCAGTGCCCTTGCACTGGCTCTTTCCTCGGTCTGGGATGTTTTCCCCACAGATAACCACATGACTGACAGTTTAATTCAGTTATCAGCTGCTCAAAGAGACCTATTCTGGCCATCCATATAAAATAAAATAGCACTCCTGCCATTTCCTGCTCTACAGCCCTTATCTCTCGGTTCCCTCCACTAGGATGTAAGCTCCATGAGAGCAAGGGTTTTGTTTTGTTCTTTCTGAAGTCTCAGATCCAGAATAGCACCTGGCACATGGGAGGCACTCAGTAAATGTTTAATGACTGAAAAAGAGGGGTAGTGTGAGTAGCTGATTATCTCAGCTCTGCCGGCAAAAATGCCCTGTTAATATTGTGAATTGTGTCTGTGAGAGAGAAGAGAAAGGAGGCAAGAGGAAAGGGGAATATGGAAAGACAGATAATAGAAAGTGTAGCTCTTAATAAATGACCAAGAATGGAGTTATGAGGGTAAGTTAGGAAAATAACTGTGATATGAAATAGACTATTCAGATTTGTCAGTCTGTGAAATCTAAAGAAGAAACAAAATTATGTATCATGCAAACTCAGAGGAAAAAAATTTATCCATGAGTTCAAAGGAACATATACTAAGCATACAGTAATTAAAAATATTGAAAGACTTGAAAAAAGTTGGCATTTACAAAACTATGGTGGAAGCTGCATAGGGCAGGCCCTCCGCATGGGGTGGACGTTTCGCAGCAGCACAGGATGGGTACGCAGGAGCTCCTGGATCTTCTCCTGGCAGATCTTGTCTGCTGCCATCCCGGCCTCTACCTCTCTGCGCTCCTCCTCCTTCTCTGCCTCCCGGGACTGCTGCTGGTGGGAGATTTGCATCTGAAGTTGCTGCTGGTACTCCCGGGCTAAGTCGGAGCGCCTAAGGTATTAGAAATGTCATAGCAATAAAATGGTAAAAGCAAGCATTTGGATGTAGGGCATTGCCATGAAAATAAAATGGGTGTAGTCAAATTAAAATTCTCATTAAAATCAGTGTGAATGGGAAAGAAACAGATGACAAACTCAATGTGTTCATTGCACAATAATTAAGATAATCTTAGATAACATATCAATTTTAGGGAAGGAAAATTTCAAAATATTTACTGTGATGTGGAGAGTCTGGGCCTCTTTCCATCCCCTCTCTCACTCCTCTCCAAGGGCTGGTAACCTGGGAACAGGCTGGTCTGCCAGTTTTCCACTCTGCTCCCTAGCAAGGGGCTGGGCTCCCACGTCTGGCGACTATGTGGGTCAGTTTGCCTCATTCTGTTCGGGATTAACTAGACAACTTTCTCCATACATATGCAACATTTTAATTATATAAGCTATATCTTAAAATTTATAGTGTGATTTTTTTATTGTTGTAAAAAAACATGTAATGTAAAATTTACCATCTTAACCATTTTTAAGGGTAGTGTTCAATAGTGTTAAGAATGAGTATATTCACCTTGTTGTGAAATAGATCCCTAGGACTTTTTCATCTTGAAAATCTGAAACTCTATACCCACCAAGCAATTAAAACTCACCTTCTCCCCTTCCCCCAGCTCCTAGTAACCACCATTCTGTTTGCTGCCTCTGTGAATTTGACTATTCTAGGTATCTCATATAAGTAGAATCATACAGTGTTTATAATTTGGTGACTGGCTTATTCCATTTGGCATAATTTCCTTGAGGTTCATCCATGTTAAAGTCCTTCGTTTTTAAGGCATAATAATATCCCATATGCTACATATTATATATACACATATACATAATAATATACATATGCTACAATTTATCTATTCACCTGCTAATGGACATTTAGACTATTTCCACCTCTTGGCTATTGTGGATAGCGCTGCTATGAACATAGCCATGCAAATATCTCTTCAGGTTCTAGCTTTTAATTATTTTGGATATATACCATAAGTGAGATTGCTGGATCATACAGTGGACAAAAAAGAAGTTCTATAGAAAGTAACTTCACTGGGTGATCTGATCAAGAATTCCTAAATGAGTAGTCATGCCCAGGCATAGAAGTTAACACACCTTTGAAATAAGCATAACCACCCTGAAGAACACACATAATCTTTGTTAACTATCCTGTAATCCTTGCTTTCTCCCACCTTCAGGTAATCTGTACCTTCCCCTTTTTATTCCAAATGCATAAAAGAAACTGTGAAACTGTCATTCTATAGCATTTGAGATCTTGCTTCCTGGCATCTGCCATCAGTTTTGGCTCAATTAAAGTCTTATACAAATTCTCTACAGGTTTGAATTTTCTTACATCAACAATATGATAGTTCTATTATTACTTTTTTAAGAAAATTTCATACTGTTATCCACAGCAGTTGTACCATTTTACAATTTATAAGCCACATTTTAAATATCAGCTTTTATTAGAAATAAAGATTATAGAATGTATGTGTCTCTGTGGCAGATGCTATTTTCAGGGGTTTTGTCATGAGATTGGGGGGTGGGGAGGGTGGAATCCTCTTGTTATTTCACTAGGATTTAGGATTGGTGCCTGTTTTAAAAAGTTTGTCTCCACCCTGACCGGTGTGGCTCAATTGACTGGGCATCATCCTGCAAACCAAAATGCCACCAGTTGATTCCCAGTCAGGGCCTGCACCCGCCCTGCTCCATCGGGGCACAGGCAGAAGCCCAAAAGCAATCAATTGACATTTCTCTCCCTCTCTTTCTCCCTCCCTTCTCTTCTCTCTAAAATAAAATAAATTTTTTTAAAAGGTTGTTTCTAATTTATATTATCTTTTAAGATGTTCATCCAGTTCAATACCCAGTGTATATAATCAGAATGTACACAATAATAATAGAATTTAAACTTACCAGGATGGTTGGTACTTATTTTAATATGAAATTCTGTAAAGTGATTTGAGTTTTTAGGACAAATGTGATATAGCCATGTGTCACTTAACAGTGGGAAGATATGAAAAATGTATCATTAGCTGATTTCATTGTTGTGAAAATATCACAGAGTGCATTTATACAAACCTAGATGGTATAGCCTACTATATAGGCCTGGTGTTTGTGTATCAGACATACCTAAATATAGAAAAGGAACAGTAGAAACAAAGTATACAGTGTTTTTATCCACCTGGCAACATGGTAGTTTTGTGTACGCCAGCCTCACCACAAATGTGAGTAATGAGTTGTGCTACAAAGTTACCACAACTAGGACATCCCTAGATGATGGGACTTTTTCAGCTGTTATAATCTCACGGGACCACCGTCACACATGCAGTCTGTTGTCGCCAGAAAGGCTACATAGCACATAACTGTACTGAGGTAAAATAATGTCAGTAATGCAAGAATTAGAGCACATTGTCCTCGATGTCAAAAATCTCCCTTTTCTCTTTAGGTAGTAAATAATAATAAAGAAAACAAAACTATACCTTGCAAAATTCTCCTTCTCTTCACGGTTAAGCTCTTTAAGACCTTTGCTTATGTGTTCCTGTTCCAGAGCACGTTCTTCTTGTTCTTTTGCTTTTCGTTGCACTACAAAAGACAAAAGCAATTTTTGTCAATTACTATTTCAGACAAGGCTTGCTAATATCTTTCTGGGTATTGGTGTCATATTTGTTTTAGAAAGGCAAAGCTCACAAGCACTGGGCTGGATCTTAGATCAATAAGCTTCAGTGGGCATCTCCACTGAGGAAAGAACAGGGTTTAGGCTCCTATGTGCTGCAATCTACACAGAGTTCCTTTTAATCATTTTCTGTTGAGACTCTGTGATCAGCCTTTTCCAAACCAGATTACCACTGTTACTACAGTGCTCACCTTTCTCTTCTTGAGGACAGTAGTTCTAGTGCCACTTATGTTAATGTGAGATTTTATTAATTACAAAATAAATGTTGAAAAAAGTCTTAGTATAAAAGACTTTTATAAATTAAATTTAAAAAAACTGAAGCATTCCAGTAGAAAAAAAATGACAAAGAAAACAAGCTGAGTTCATAACAGAATAAATACAACTGGGCTATATACATTTGAAATGTATATATCTTCCCCAAATCCACTTATAGAAATTTGTCTTAAACAATCATTTAGAAGCAAAAAAAACCCCCCACCCATTTACAGAGCTTTTAGGACAAATGTAATACAGTCATCGGTTGCCAAATGATGGAAACCTGAAATGCTGAAGTAGTAGTGTAAAGACTCAACACAATCTCAAGATCTAATAGTTGTGTTTTCCTAAAATAAATTATAGTCCACTTGTATAATAGATTTCTAGGCAGCATTACAAATCTTATAATTGAAGAAAACTGACCTGGAAAATATTAATGATAAATAGAAAATACAGACTATAAAACAATATATAAAACATGATCCTCATTTGTGAGGGGAAATTATATACATAGTAAAAGTACTGAAAGGAAATACATGAAGTTGTGACTAGTAGCTATTCCTGGGTTGTTGGAATTATGGTTGATTTTGTTTCCTTGTTTATAAATGGTCTCAAATACTTAAATTTTATGTTTTCTCAATAATTTCTGAAATATTATCATGGGTGAAAACAAAAATCTTTTTAGCTTATTAGCTTTCTTCTCATTTCCTAAAACTCCATCTAATACTAACTTAACAATTTTCAACTGCTGTTGTAATGTCTGGAGAGGAGTATTAATCAACAGAACCAAGATGAGCTTTCTCTTGCAAGGACAACTAGTGTGAAGTCTATGGCACCCTAACAGTAATATATCCATCTACTGCCTATGGTTCATTGGGCTGGACATGGAATGGTGGAAACCTGAAGTAGCAGGTCATCCTCGCTACAAATATTTCCTTTTGTAACCGAGCACTGTTTGAGGCTCAAGGAATACAATGGTGTACTAAGACATGAGCAAGACACCGTGAGAGGCCCAGAAAGAGGACTTATTATGAATTGGGTGACACACAGGACCTCTCCAGGAATGACATTTGCGCTTTCTTGAAGGACGCCCAGAATTTCTCAAGATCAAAAGCATCAAAGGCAGAGAAAACTACCTAAGCAAAGGTATGCAGGGAGGAAGGTATGGAGACTTCTGCAGAAAGAAAAGGGGGATAGGTAAAAGGGAGGAGGGGGAAGGTGGGTGTCTTTTCTCTGCCTTCTAACTCTTCTTCATAATCACTAAGGTACACAGACCATTCAGAGGACACACTGTTCCTTCTACCTTGAGAACATCTCCCCTATGACTGCTCAGAGTGTGCTGGGATATAAAACTTTCCATACAGTAAATTCAAACAGTATATTCATACTGTATATAGTCACAATTAGATAACATCTACAAGGGAGGGATCTTGCCTTTCCTTTTTACATCCCTTCTAGTATTTTATACATAATACCTACTTAAAGAATATTTTGGTTATTACTTAAATTGAATTATAATTTGATTCAATTAAAACATAATTATAGGAGACTTCTGATAAAAATGGAGGCATAAGTAGTTACACTTCACTTTCTTGAACAACCAAAAGAAAGACAACAAATTTAAAAACAAAAGATAACCAGAACTGCCAGCAAATTGAACTGCATGGAAGTCAGACAACCAAGGATCTAAAGAAGAAACATTCATCCAAACAGGTAGGAAGGGTGGAGATGGGCAGCTGGGGCGGAGAGGACATGGGGCAAGGCAGCGGCTGGAGGACCGGGCGGTCCCACATTTGTGTGTGGATAAACTGGGAGGAACAGCTGGGGAGCAAGACAGACTGTGCAATACAGGGTTCCGGTGCAGGAAAAGAAAGCCTCAGAACCTCTGGCTATAAAAACCTGTGGGGGATACGGCAGCGGGAGAAACTCCCAGCGTCACAGGCGAGTTCACTGGAGAGGCCCACAGGGTTCCAGAACATTCACAAACCCACCCACCTGGACAACAGCACTAGGAGGGCCCTACTTGCTCACGGGTAGCCGGGGAAGTGAGTGAAAGCCGGCCGAGAGCCGAGCAAGCAGCATTGTTCCCTCCCTGACCCCTCCCCCACATGCAGCTCCACAATGCAGCAAAGTGGGTTGCCCCGCCCTGGTGAACGCCTAAGGCTCTGCCCCCTCCGACACAACGGGTGCACTGAGACAAAGAAACATGGCCCAAATGAAAGAACAGGTCAAAGCTCCAAAAATAGAACTAAGCGAGGAGGAGAGAGCCAACCTGTCCTATGCACCGTTCAAAACACTGGTAATCAGGATGCTCACAGAAATAGTTGAGTATGCTTTCAGAATGGAGGAAAAAGTGAAGGCTATGCAAAGTGAAGTGAAGAAAATATGCAGGGAACCAACAGCGAAGGGAAGGAGACCGGGGCTCAAATCAACTCTCTGGAGCAGAAGGAAGAGATGCATATTCAACCAGAACAGAATAAAGAAACAAGAATTCAAAGAAAATGAAGAGAGGCTTAGGAACCTCTGGGACAACTTTAAACATTCCAACGACTGAATCACAGGGGTGCCAGAAGGAGAAGAGGAAGAGCAAGAAATTGAAAACTTATTTGAAAAAATAATGAAGGAGAACTCCCTCAATCTGGCCAAGGAAATAGACTTCCCAGAGATCCAGGAAGCTCGGAGAGTCCCAAAGAGGTTGGATTGAAGGAAGCACACACCGAGGCACATCATAATTACACTACCCAAGATTAAAGATAAGGAGAGAATCTTAAAAGCAGTAAGAGGAAAGGAGACAGGTACCTCCAAAGGAGTTCCCATGAGACTATCAGCTGATTTCTCCAAAGAAACCTTGCAGGCAACAAGAGGCTGGAAAGAAGTATTCCAAGTCATGAAAGCCAAGGACCTACAGCCAAGATTACTCTATCCAGCAAAGCTATCATTTAGAGTGGAAGGGAAGCTAAAGTGCTTCCCAGATAAGGTCAAGTTACAGGAGTTCATCGTCACCAAGCCCTTATTATATGAAATGGTAAAGGGACTTATCTAAGAAAAAGAAGGTCACAACTATGACTGGTAAAATGACAACAAACTCACAACTATCAACGACTGAACCTAAAACAAAAACAAAAACAAAACAAACTAAGGAAACAACTAGAAGAGGAACAGAGTCACAGAAATGGAGATCGGGGCGGGGAGAGAATGGGGGAAAACGTACAGGGAATAAGAAGCGTACATAGTAGGTACAAAATAGCAGGGGGAGGTTAAGAATAGTATAGGAAATGGAGAAGCAAAAAAACTTACATGTATGACCTATGAACATGAATTAAGGGGTTATAGGGAAATGCTGGTGGGAGAAGGGTTTAGGGCAGAGGGGGATAAACAGGATGAAAGAAATGGAACAACTAATAGCATAGTCAATAAAATATACCTAAAAAACAAAATTATAAATTTATGTTTCAATATAAATATACTGAATATTTATTGATATTTATTTATTATTCATTTAAAAATATTTATTTTTCAACACAAATATATGAATATTGAAAAATAAATATAAATAATAAAGTCATTACTTTAACTTGAATTTACTAAGGCTCACTTAAAACATAACTATAATTTATTTCCTTACACTTTTCTTGAACTTGAAGTTTTCTTGTACACATGACCTCATTCAAAAGTTGTTTCCTTGCCTCTTTTTCAAGTTTTAGCTGCTTGTCCTTCTCAGCCAACTTCTTTGCCTTCTCTTCCTCTAACAATCTGTCCAATTCTTTCTCCTGAGCATTTTCTTCCTCACGTCGCTGTGTCAAATATTGATGATATATCTTCTGTTCTCTTCTTATATCTTCCTACACAACATAAAAATTACCACATGTTGTTAAAACTTTTAGGAATGATAATGATATTGAGGGCATTTAAAACAATCTTTCACAGCTACAACCTCAATGTTAAAACTACTACTGAAATATTTATAGATGAAATATTATGTCGGGGGCTTATTCCAAAATATCTAGGAGTGGTGGGGTGGGTGTGTAGAGGTAAAAATGAAACAAGAATGACCATTAGCTGATGCTTGTTGAAACAAGTAAGAAACACATGGGGTTCTTTGCACTATTCTTTGTATCTATTTGAAATGTTTTAAAATATATTGCTAAATAAGTTGATCCAAATACTATCCCAAAATGTTTTTCAAAGCAGTTCCAAAGTACTTTGCAATTATACAGGTTTATTTTCATTTATTTTAATTTAGGTAGATGAAATCTTAACCTAATAAACCAAATAAGTCACTACTACTGTTATAGCACTGTCTCTGACAAGAAGATGAGTCAGTCACCTGATACTTTATAATAACAATTCTCAATCTCAGCTACACTTTGAAATCACCTGAGGAGCTTTAAAAAGTGCTAAGGGCTGAGTCTCACCTCCAAAGTTTCCTATCTAATGGATAGTGTTTAAGTTCTCCAGGTGATTTTAATGTGCAGCTAAAGTTGTCAACTAGGCTTTATAGCAAATACATTTCAGTTGACTTCTCTGTCTTTCAGGGTTTTATATTTGTGCTGTTCCATTCAATCTCTGATCTGATCTCTTTTGAAAATATAGATCTGAGGTAGGACTAGCAAGGCCTGAGGGTATAGCTGGACTATCACAATGGCTTGTATATATAGTCTCATTCTACTTAGGAACGAATTTAACACAAGAAAAGCAAAACTTACACTCTTAAAACTAAAAAACATTGCAATAAATCAAAGAGGACCTAAATAAATGAAAAGACATCCTATGTTCATGAATCAGTAGACAATATTGTTAATATGTTAATTGTCCCCAAAATGGTCTAGAGATTCAAAACAATTTCTATCAAAATCCCAATTGTCTTCTTTACAGAAATTGATAAATGGATCCTAAATTCATATGAAAATGAGAGGGAGTCAGAACAGTCAAAACAATTTGAAAGATAAAAACAAAGATGAAGGATTTGCATTTCCTGATTTCAAACTTACTACAGTGATAAAGACATAAACATGTGTTACAGCATAAGGATGGACATATAAATAATGGAATAGAAGTGAAAGTCCAGAAATAAACCCTCACATTTACTGTTAATTGAGTTTTGACAAGAGTGCCAAGACAATTGCAAAGGGAAAAAGGAGTGTCATCAAGAAATGGTGCTGGGACAACAGGATATCCACATGCAAAAGAATGAAGTTGGGCCTCTACCTCACACCACATACAAACTTAAACTCAAAATGGACCAAAGTCTTGAGGGGAAAAGCTAAAACTATATAACTAATGAGAAAACATAGGACCACATCTTTGTGACCTGGGTTAGAAACAGTTTTTTAGAGATGACAGCTAAAGCAACAAAAGAAAATATAAATTGGATTTTATCAAAATTAAAAACTTTGGTACAATTGTTCACCATCAAGAAAGTGCAATGAGGAAAAATATTTACAAACCACTTATGTAAGGGAATTTGTAGGACCTATAAAGAATCCTTACAACTCAATAATGAAAAGACAAATAATCCAATTAAATATTGGACAAATGACTTGAATAAACTTCTTTAAGAAGTCTATACAATAGACTTCAAATAGATTTTTCCAAGAAAGATACACAAATGACCAATAAGCATAGAAAAAGGGACTCAACATTATTAATCTTTAGGGAAATGCAAATCAAAATCACATATCATAAAATGACATACCACTTCAGACAGCCTAGGATGGTTTTTTAAAAAAGGCAAACAATAAGTATTAATGAGCATGTAAAGAAATCAGAACCCTCGTAAACTGAGGGTTTAAACTAGCAAGTGAGAGTGCAAAATGGTGAAGCCACTTTGGAAAATAATGCGGCAATTACTCAAAAGCTTAAACATAAGAGTTACCCTAGGGCTCAGTAATTCTACTCCTAGTTATGTGCCCAAAAGAAACAAAAACATATGTATGTCCAAACAAAGACTAACACATGAATGTTAACAGTAACACTATTCATAATAGCCAAAAAGTAGAGACAACTCAAATATCAATCAACTGACAAATGAATAAACAAAATGTGGTATATCCATACAACGGAATATTCTTCAGCCATATAAAGGAATGAAGTACTCATACATGGTACGACACGGATAAACCTTGAAAACATTATGCTAAGTGAAAGAAGACAGTCAAGCCCCAGCTGGTGTGGCTTAGTGGACTGAGTGCCAGCCTACAAACCAAAAGGTAACCAGTTTGATTCCCATTCAGGGCACAAGCCTGGGTTGCAGCAGCCAATGAAGGTATCTCTTGAACATTGATATTTCTCTCCTTCTTTCTCCCTTCCTTCCCTTCTCTCTAAAAATACATAAATAATATCTTTTTAAAAATGATTGAAAGAAGCCAAATGGTCACATCACATATGATTTCATGATGCTTGCAATATTGTGAATAATTTGTAGTAAGAAATATATATTTGGTGTTTGTTCCCATTTCTGACATAGAGCTCCTAAAACCCTTATGATCTCCTAAGAGTGAAAAAGGTGTCGTATGTTAGTGACGTGACTTTTGGACAGCACCTAAGGTTGGGGGCTGGTTCAGGGGAAGCAACCATGTGATTAGAAGGTTAGAACTCTAGTCCCAACCCCCTGATATCCAGAGAGGGGAGAGGGGCTGAAAGTTGAATCAATCACCACCAGCCGATGATTTAATCAACTGTGCCTATGTAATGAAGCCTCCATAAAAATCCAAAAAGAGAGGGTTTGGAGGGCTTCCAGGTCGGGGAACCAGACCACTTTCATGTTCCACCATGCCAGGTCCCAAACAATGGGAGGATGAAAACTCCTTTGTCTAGAACCTGTAATACCTCTTCCTTTGGGTTGATCTATATCCTTTAATATCCTTTGTAACAAACCGATAATTTAGTGAGTAAATGGGTTTCCTGTGTTCTGCACACTACTTGAGAAAACTAATCAAGCCCAAGGAGGGGGTTGTGGAAACCTCTGATTTATAGCCAGTTGGTCAGGTAACAACCTGAACTCGCAATTGGCATCTTGAGTTGTTGGAAGCGCCAATTTGCAGCTCATAGTCAGAAACACAGTTAACAACCTGGGCTTGCAACTGGTGCCTGAAATAGAGGCCGGTCTTGTAGAACTGAGCCCTTTACCTGTGCAATCTGATGCCTGATGCTATCTCTGAGTAAATAGTGTCAGAAGTGAGTTGAAATTGTAGGACACCCAGCTGATGTCCCGAGCGTTGCTTGGAAAACCCCCAACCTCCTCATAGGAAATTAGGTTCAGAACCCTTAATGCTCCACATCATGTGTCATCAGGGAAGCACAAATCAAAACAACGAGATAGATTTACACGTCTGTTAGACTGGCCAAAATCTAGAACACTGGCAACACCAAATGCTGATAAAAATGTGGAACAATAGGAGCTCTCATTCACTGCTGGAGCAATAGGAGCCTGCAAAATGGTACAGACACTTTGGAAGACTGTTTGGCAGTTTCCTACAAAACTGAACACATTTTTACTATATGATCCAGCAATAGCTCACTTTGTATTTACCCAAGTTAAAAATTTATGTCCACACAAAAACCTATGCATGAATGTGTACAGCAGCTTTGATCACAATCACCAAAACTCAAAAGCAGCCGAGGACGTCCTTCCATAGGTGAATAATGGATGAATAACTGTAGTCCATATGTACAATGGATTATTATTCAGTGCTAAAAAGATATGCGCTACCAAGCCATGAAAAAACATGGAGGAAATTTAAATGCATACTACTTACTGATATAAGCCAATCTAAAAAGGCTACCTACTGTATGAATCCAACTATATGAGATTCTGGAAAAGGTAAAACTATGGAGATAGTATTAGGCCAGTGGAACAACTCTGTGTGACAGTGTCATGGTAGACACATGTCATTATGCATTTGTCCAAATCCATAGAATATACTGCAGCAAAAGTGAACCTCAATGTAAACTATGGACTTTGGGTGATAATGATACCATGTAGGTTAATCAATTGTAATGAATGCACCACTCTGGTGGGGGATATTGATAACTGGGGAGGCTTTGCATTTGTGGGGGTAGGAAGCTCTAGGAAATTTCTGTATCTTCTGCTCAATTTTTCTGTGAGTTTAAAACCACTCTATAAAATAGTCTATAAAAAAATAGTACTATAGGGAAAGCATGACACCCTTAAGAGTTTAATATAAATTTCAAAGGAACAGAAAACTAAATAAATACTGGAGTGCTTTTCTTTACTCTCCTTGCCTGACAAAACTGGACATACCCTCCAAGGTCCAACTCAGATCACTTTCTCAGGGACGTCCTCCCCAACCTCAAGTCGTGCTTAGTCATTCCTCCTCCTGTGATCCCATCCAGCTATCCCAAAATTCAGTCGGCATCTGAATAACGTGATGGATCTTGTTAAAACACAGATTTCTTACCCCTGCCAGGATCTGGAGTTATAGATTCTGATTCTGGTACCTACAAATTTTTATTTCTCACATTCTCCAAGGAAGCTGATGCCACACTTAGAGCAGCACTGTTATGTTCATTCTACAGGTGGCTAGCTCCTGTAAGATTGAGAGGTCAACAAGGAACCTCATCCAACACATATTAGACACTGAATAAATGTCTTACTCTTTTTTGCTTCTTTGTATCAGCCTCTTCCTGTAAGTCTTGCAAGGCCCTTTGCACAAGCCTCATGTCCAAGTCCTGCTCTTCTTTATATTCCTGTTGAATATGTTCCATCTTCTCTTGGAGGGCTTTTTGCAAAGTGATCCTGATTTCCTGTTTTGTCTTCTGTTTCTTTAGCTTCTCCTGCTCATCTTCAAGTTTCACCTGAGCTTTGTCATTTTCCTAAGGTAAAACAATAATGAAAATAATGCCTCAGTACAGTTGGACAAAACAAATTAATGCATTGCATTTAGGAAATGAGAAAGAAAGGTTTCTTGGAAATATACACACCTGGAGTTAGAGGGACTATAAGAAATAAAGCTCACCTTTTCATTGCTCAGTCAGCAGTAAGGCTTTGCAAAATTGATGTGTGTGTAATTATAAAGTAATAAGTAGTTATCAAGTTCAAAATTCAGAAAAGCATGAAGAGAAACCACCATTAAACCTAGTACCCATCACTCAGGACCACTCTCAACATTTCAGTGTATGGCCTTCTAGACTGTACTCGTCTATGCACATCTGCAATTCTAGATTTGGGTACATTATTAAACAGCAGTAAGAATCCAAAAAACAAAAATGTGCACATTGGCTAAATACACAAAACTACATTTTAAACATTTTGTTCTTTGAAAGTATTACTCCATTCCTCTCCCCTCCGCCCCCATCCCCCAGCTTTCTGACCCTCCTCTCTAACTTGACTGCATGGCCAATCAAGCCGTTTTAACTGGGGCACCAATGCTGTTGGGCATTATGGGTTCGGTAGAAAATTTAGGTGCAGTGTCATGGAGGCACTAGTCTTCCTGCCAGAGGCAGTGGAACTCTGCTGGGGGGACAAGTACTTGCCCAGCTGGGACAGGAGATGATGCAGCAATAGTGAGAATGGGATATAAACACCAGTTTGACATGATTTAACCAAGATTCACAGCAGCCATGATTAGTGTTTTGGGAGAGGAGAGTTATATATACTACACTTTTCCTTTAACGCCATGAGCAGTAAATCCAACTGAATTGTAAGGGTCAAATTTGATAATCTAAGTGAAAATACTCTGCAGTATCTAAGGAAAAGCAATGGATATCAAACATGAAATACAGGGGAATAGCAGGCCACACTTTTTAAAAATAAGCTTGACCACAACAGGAGGAAGCAGTCAGCCAAATCCAGACTGTAAGATAGGAAGGGATGGGATGGGGAAACTGCCCGAGCTTAAGAGGCCTCAAAGTAGTTTGCCATGTTTTGGTTTCACCAGGATAGTTCTAGTCTTACACCTGTTGTGCCAGTTTAATGAATGTATTGTACCCCTTTTGATCTGAAATGAATAATACACAGTCACTCTTTCTAAAACAGACTTATAACAACCATATTTGGATTCTGATTTAAATATCAAATAAATTAGACAATGATGGAAACTTGATGCTGACTTTAGATGATAAAAATGAATCATTATTAATATTTTTAGGTCTGACATTGGCATTGTATAAGAAAATGTCCTGAATTATGTTGTTGAGATGTACAAGGGGGGAATGAGATGTCTGCGATTTGTTTTAAAACAAAAAAAAAAGAGGGGATGGGAAGGACAGAGGAAACCAATATGGCAAAATGTAAGAGCCACTGAAACTGGGGGACAGGTACATAGAGGTTCATTATACTCTCCACTTCCAAGCATTTAAAAATGCTCATAATAAAACATTTTAGCCCTGGCTTGTGTGGTTCAGTGGACTGAGTGCTGGCCTGTGAACCAAAGGTTGCTGGTTAGATTCCCAGTCAGGACACATGCCTGGGTTGCAGGCCAGGTCCCTGGTTCGTGGTGTGCAAAAGACAACAACCAATTTGATGTATCTCTCACACATCAATATTTCTCTCACTTTCTCCCTCCCTTCCCCTCTCTAAAAATAAATAAAACCTTTAACATACATTTTAAAAGGTCAAATTTACATAACATTCTCAAAATCACAACAAAATAGTGATAAAGAACATATCAGTGGCTGCCAAGAGTTAGGCTTACAAGAGGTTATAACTATAAAGGAGAAGCTGGAAGGAGTTTCTTTGGGTAATGGAACAGTTCTGTGTCCCAATTTTGAGAGTGGTTACATAAATCTATCTACAGGATAAAATTTCATAGAGCTATTCCCCTTCCCCAGAAGAAAGCATGTAAAAACTGGTGAAATACAAAGGTCATAACTCAGTTAAATAAGGAATAACTTTAGCTGTGCATACACACATGTATATACATATATATAAATATATACATGCACACACATAAAGGGGTAGGCAAAAGGAGGTTTACAGTTGTGAGTACTAAAAACAGAGTGTATGCTTGTATTATTATTTATTAATTATTGTATTATTTATTGTATTATTACATAATATTATATTATGTAAACCTACATACACGCATACAGGAATGTTTGGTTATATTAGGATACACAGGAATGCTCTACAATTTTTTGTAAATTCTTGTGAGCCTAAGATTATTCCCTAAAAATTTTTTTAAATGTTTTGTTTTTTAAATTTTTACTTATTGACTTTTTGAGAGAGAGATTTGTCGTTTCACTTATTTATGCATTCATTGGTTGATTCTTGTATGTGCCCGAAGCAGGGGTCAAACCTACAACTTTGGTGCATTGGGTCAACTCTCTAACCAACTGAGCTACTCAACCAGGGTTCAAGAAAAAGTTTTTAAAGAAATTTAGAAATATATAGCTAGGTGTGGTATAATGAAAATAAATATTTGGTTTTCGTCCCTGGTTCCTGGCTCACAGCTCCTACAACCTTTGGAATCCCTAAAGTGGTAAGACTACCTTTTGCATCCTGAGATGACTGGTGGCTTGAGCTTCATGATGGGGGCTGATAACCAGAAAGACCAAACCATGCAATTAGAGGTTTGAAACTTGAGCTCTACCCTTTGACCTCCAGGATGCAGAGAGGGGCCAGAGATGAAGGTCAATCAACAGTGGCCAATGATCTAATAAGTTATGCCAAAAATAATGAGATCTCCATAAAAAAAGAAAAACAACCCAAATGATGGGATTCGGAGAGCTTCTGGATTGGTGAACACATCAAGGTGTTAGGAACATGTTGTGTCCAGAGGGCATGGAAGCTCTGTGTACCAACCCCATACCTGGCTCTCTGCATCTCTTCCATTCAGCTGTTCCTGAGTTATATCCTTTACAATAAACCAGTAATGGTAAATAGATCATTTTCCTGAGTTCTCTGAATTATTTTAGTGAATTATCAAGGCTGAGAGGAAGTCATGAGAACCTCTGACTTTGTACCCAAGTTGGACAGAAGTATAAGTAACCTGGGGACCTTCTCCTTGTGACTGGCAGTTTTGTGGGAATGCGCCCTTAAACCTGTTGAGTCTGACACTAACACTCGATAGTGTCAGAATTGCATCAAATTGTAGGATACCTAGTTGATGCCCACATGGAATCAGGGAATTGTTTGATGTGAGGAAAAAAATCACATATTTGGTGTCAAAAGTGTTGAGTAAAAATGGCTCACTAGGTATCTTATACCAGAGGATGGGTCTATGAGGCAGTTTGGGGGCCACCATTTTTATCTTCTTAGAGAAACGAAGTTAGTTAGACATCAACTAAACACTTAGAAGAAGAAGAAGAAGAAGAAGAAGAAGACAGAGAAGAAGAGGAAGAGGAAGAGGGAGGAGGAGGAGGAGGAGGGGGAGGAGAGGAGGAGAAGGAGACGGAGACGGAGACAGATGAAGACGAAGATGAAGAAGAAGGAGAAGGAGAAGAAGGAGAAAACCATCTGAAACCCAGAGAAAGCTTCTAGCTTACTGACTTTTTTTAATGGTTCCAAATTTCAAAACTTGGGATTTCCCAGGAAAATAATACTTTTTCCCTAAATTTATTGGTAATAAAGTATCAGTTGTTGAAATCTTTATATACATATAAAATCACTACTTTTTCAAGTGCTTTCACACATTTTCAGTGGAAGCTCTAATTTCTATACCGTACAGCAGTGATTTTCAACGTATTTCATCTCATGGTACACATAAACTAAAATTCTACAGCACACCAAATATATATTTTTTACTGATCTGACAAAAAATATATATAATTCTGATTCATTCACACCAGATGGCTATTGTTGTGTTGACTGTTGTTTGTTTGTTTGTTTTGACAGTCTAAGGGAAAAGAGGTCAGTGCTTCTGACTATATAGTCAGGTGTTGTAGGTTTTAAAAATTCTTGCAGCACACGGGTTGAAAATCATTGCAGTAGGGGCAGCAGTCTTGCTGGAATAAAATTATTGATGTTGGCAGCAAGAGGGTTACAGTAGCTGTCTTACAGCACCTCTTCAGAAGATTTGGAAACTGTCAATTTACATATCAAAGAACAGGGGATGTTGCCAAATTGTCCCCAGTCCTCCAAAGCACTGCCAATGATTATCCCATTTCATCCTCCCCCCAAGAAAACAAATGCCTCTTGCCTGATTTTTCAGATAAAGAAACTGAGACACAGTAATTCAGTAACTTGCCCTATGCAATAGGATAGCTGGGTCTTGAAACCCAAGGCTCCTACCATGTTGCCCTGTGAACCAGCCCAGGCCATTAGGCAAACTGTACAGTAACGGGACTGCAAACTGCATCCTATACCCACTGAGTTATCATCCCATGAGAGGCATTTTAAAAGGCCCACCACAAGGCGCGCCTCCTCTTCCTTCCGTTGCTGCGCTGCCTGCCTCTGCGCCTGGATGGCGGTGATCTGAGCATTCAGCCCCAAGCGTGTGTTCTCCACTAGCTCTTTCTGTCTCCTCGCCTCTTCAGCGTCTCGCTTCTCCTTGGCTAATCGGTCTTCCTCCCAGAGCTTTGAGAACATCTGCTCTTCCACCAGTTTTTGTCTTTTCAGCTCCTTATTAAATTCAACCTGTGCTTTCCGCTCCTCGCACACCTTCTTCTGATGGATACAAAACAATTCAGCACGGAGCTCTTCGCAGCGTTCCCTGAAAGGAGAATTTTAAAAAGACAAAACCAAGTCTTCCATGAGACACTACTTTACTCGGGCACTTGTCTGCACAGATACTGAAGAAAAAGTAAAAGATGTCGATGTAGGCCATCCGAGCAGAGAAAATATGTGAGGGAACAGCAGGGGTATAGGTACCATGATGTCACAGCCAAAATACTGGCACTAGGTCAGACAGTGCAGGCTTTGAAACCTAGTTTTG